ACAAACAAGCTAATGACAGGGACGATATGTAATGTCTAAGACAGACAATAGTGTATTATCAATGTTGGTATGTTTGTACCATATCCGGTTGTCAGTCTGGAATCAACAAGTGAACTAACTATGGCTGTGGTCATCCGTACAAATATATCTATATTTATGTTGGTAATCAATGTCACAAAGATGACTTCACTTTACTGTTAAGTCATCGGTCCCGACCACATGAACCTCTACAAATTTTCGAATATATATTTACCTCGACCATCCTTCGAATGGCATATCGATTGTTGCTAGGCAATCATCAATATGGCGACGTTGTTCGTCCCAATATCCGTCCAAAGTTTCCTTGTAGAACTGTCAATATGTAAAATTCATTGCACATCCTTTGGTAAAAAATAACTACATCTGCAAACAAAAACACTTCTTTATGGGCGTGCCAAAAGATGTTGCCATAATTTATTAAATAGCAACAAAAGAACACTTCATATAGATCATGTACACATATTAATACTTCACAGGGGAACTGTCTGCAATATTTAGTATGTTTTGACCAATCGAAGTCATAATTGCTGCACCTTAAAGAGTTTTCCAACAGGAAACAATTTCTCTATCACAAGAGTGAGTGATGCGCTGAATAGGTAGAGGTGTCCGTCTTACACACAAAGGTACGTATGAGAAGCTACATATTCACACACACATGTATTAGAAAAGGCCCTCTCGTACACATACAACTATGATGAGAAGGTCGATCTTACACACACAACTATAATAAGAACTACTATCTTACACACACAACTATGACAAGGTCGATCTTACAGATCAATCTTACACATATAGGTCTGACAGGAAGTTCCGTCTTACACATATAAGTCTGACAGGAAGTTCCATCTTACACATATGTAAGTACGACAGGAAGTTCAATCTTACACATATAAGTCTGACAGGAAGTTCAATCTTACACATATAAGTCTGACAGGAAGTTCCATCTTACACATATAAGTCTGACAGGAAGTTCCATCTTACACATATCAGTATGACAGGAAGTTCCATCTTACACATATAAGTATGAAAGGAAGGTCAATCTTACACATATAAGTATGAAAGGAAGTTCCATCTTAAACATATAAGTATGAAAGGAAGTTCAATCTTACACATATAAGTCTGACAGGAAGTTTCATCTTACACATATAAGTATGAAAGGAAGTTCCATCTTACACATATAAGTATGAAAGGAAGGTCAATCTTACACATATAAGTATGAAAGGAAGATCAATCTTACACACACAAGTATGAAAGGAAGTTCAATCTTACACATATAAGTATCAAAGGAAGTTCAATCTTACACACACAAGTATGAAAGGAAGTTCAATCTTACACACACAAGTATGAAAGGAAGTTCAATCTTACACACGCAAGTATGAAAGGAAGTTCAATCTTACACATATAAGTCTGACAGGAAGTTTCATCTTACACATATAAGTATGAAAGGAAGGTCAATCTTACACATATAAGTATGAAAGTAAGTTCAATCTTACACACACAGGTATGAAAGGAAGATCAATCTTACACACACAAGTATGAAAGGAAGTTCAATCTTACACATATAAGTCTGACATGAAGTTCAATCTTACACATATAAGTCTGACAGGAAGTTTCATCTTACACATATAAGTATGAAAGGAAGGTCAATCTTACACATATAAGTATGAAAGAAAGTTCAATCTTACACATATAAGTATGACAGGAAGTTCAATCTTACACACACAGGTATTAAAGGAAGTTCAATCTTACACATATAAGTCTGACATGAAGTTCAATCTTACACATATAAGTCTGACATGAAGTTCAATCTTACACATATAAGTCTGACATGAAGTTCAATCTTACACATATAAGTCTGACAGGAAGTTCCATCTTTCACATATAAGTCTGACAGGAAGTTCCATCTTACTCATATAAGTCTGACAGGAAGTTCCATCTTACCCATATAAGTCTGACAGGAAGTTCCATCTTTCACATATAAGTCTGACAGGAAGTTCCATCTTACTCATATAAGTCTGACAGGAAGTTCCATCTTGCACATATAAGTCTGACAGGAAGTTCCATCTTACTCATATAAGTCTGACAGGAAGTTCCATCTTGCACATATAAGTCTGACAGGAAGTTCCATCTTTCACATATAAGTCTGACAGGAAGTTCCATCTTACACATATCAGTATGACAGGAAGTTCCATCTTAAACATATAAGTATGAAAGGAAGTTCAATCTTAGACATATAAGTATGAAAGGAAGTTCAATCTTAAACATATAAGTATGAAAGGAAGTTCAATCTTAAACATATAAGTATGAAAGGAAGTTCAATCTTAAACATATAAGTATGAAAGGAAGTTCAATCTTAGACATATAAGTATGAAAGGAAGTTCAATCTTAAACATATAAGTATGAAAGGAAGTTCAATCTTAGACATATAAGTATGAAAGGAAGTTCAATCTTACACATATAAGTATGAAAGGAAGTTCCATCTTACACATATAAGTATGACAGGAAGTTCAATTTTACACACATAGGTATGACAGGAAGTTCCATCGTACACATGTAAGTATGACAGGAAGTTCTGTCTTACACATATATACATGTATGATGTATAAATTAACAGCATATTATCCCGTTAATTGATATAATAGTATGACTAGATATGTGTTGCATACGTACCTGCCACACTATTCGTTGTCCCTCCTCACTATCTATCGCACAATTCCCGTATCCATACACCGCTAGAGCACCTCCAGGGCGGAGAACTCGCCTCACTTCATTGAAAAACCGCGGTCTGTCCATCCAATGAAGCGCCTGGGCAGTGGTCACGAGGTCAGCCGTCTCGTTTCCAAGGAAACTTAAGTCTTCAGCTGGACCAGTTTTGAAATCAATACTATTTGACTGCTTCTTGGCCTCTGATATCTGTTTATCGCTTATATCTATGCCGATAACATTTTCGAAAATGTTCTTTAGAGGAAGAGTACTTTGACCATTTCCGCAACCAACATCCACCGCTTTGTGACATCCACTTCCTTCCGGAAGTTGGCAGTACTTCCTGATCTCGTCGTATACCTCGCTTGTGTAGGTTGGCCGGTACCTTGCATACAGCTTGGCATGGTCCTTGCCCTCGAACAAACGGATACTCATGTTATCTGTGGATAATGGTCGGAAGACGAAGCCCAGAGGAGTCTTTCCGATGACAGATATAGCGATAAGCCTTTTTGCAGCAGCGGTAAGGATAACTCTCATATCAGTCCGGCCGTTGTTTCATTAACGTTTTGAAGGTCGTCTTGGAGTGTCTAATCAGTTCTGTGGAATCAGCAAAAAAACAGTCGCTCGACTTCACACGTAATTATCAATGTTTTGTAGGTTAGTATTATAACACACGATAGCGAGACCTAAATTCGCAATGCTAGGGAATCAATGGGTCCGAGTAATAACAGGGAAATACAGGGTTAAAAGCTTACAGTGTGGCAGTGAAATATAGAGCAACAGCATGATCAATAGCATGTAAACAAATATGTGATCACATGATACAGTATGGTGAAGACCGTTATACAAGGTCAGAGATTGTGATAAGTACTCCATAGGGTTACAGGGTATGATAGTGATCGGCGATAAATCTACTTCAGACCGCGTTTTACACTCAAAGAAGTTTGGTGACACTCAAAAAGGTTCTGGAAATGCTGAAAAGTAGAATGGCGGATCCAGAGTTTTAAAGGTATCCCCCTAAACTAACTTTTACTTGATCACTGATCAGTGAGTCATACTTGTAAATAGGTTACAAGAAGTTCAGACATATGTAGGATATGCTGTGAAATATCGGCATTAAAGCCTGTGAAATTTAGGGCCACAAGGTTTGGTTTGGTCTTGTATTGTTTAACGTCTTATCAACAGCTATGGCGTTTAAGTACGACCATCCCTGTGTGCAAATGGCATGCGTGTAGTGTATGTGTGTGTGTTTTGGGAGGCTACGATATGTTCGTGTCTGTCTCCTTGTGATAGCACGGAACTTATGCCGACTTTATAGTGCTATCTCACCGAAACATACTGCCGAAGACACCAAGCAGGACACCCAACCCGGTCACATTATACTGACAACGGGCGAACCAGCCGAGCAGGAGAAGAAACTACCATTTTACAGACTCTGGTATGTCTCGGCTATGGGACAGAACCCAAAGCCTTCCTCACAGGGCGAACACTAAACTAAAGGCCAGAAGTAAGGCATTGTCAAGGGAGACATTAGTAAGAAGAAAGTTGTTTAGAAAGAAGAGAAAACATAAGATCCCAAATTAAGTCGCTTTTTACGACCATGCAATGGGAGCAGCAGGTACAATTCTTACGCCCTACCTGCAGGGACTGGGGCCACAAGGAATTATAATATAGAGCGTATCACAAATATATGTCAACAGACAGTTATTTGTCAAAAGGTTTGACAAGATTGTGAAAAACCAATGACACGTCCGACTGTTTACAGGGGGCGTTTATCGTTGTATCCGGGACCAAAACTGGCTTAGACATGGTCTTGCAAATAATAACATGAACTTATAACGAGATATAGGTTCATGTAATTTAGAAGTGTTGGTTCACATACTAATAGCTCGTAACATCAATGCATTGCAATTACGAGCATATTTGTTAGAGAGCAATGTTTTTTAGGAATAAAGAATCGATTTCGTCTTGGGGGAAAATAGAGGTATGTTATCTGACATGACACCGTCTATGTAGCACCTTATCAGAACACTTGAAATCCTCGTCATAACAAAGCTATCAGACGAGGATGATACGAATATCTCACGTTCTCGATATACAAAAGTAGCACTACAAGTTCCGTTCGGACAGTGCAAATGAGTACACAAGTACACGTACACTCTGTAAAGTACAAAGTACATGTGCACCAATCAGAAGGCGTATACTTTCGTATTCCTGTTTTATACGTCCCCATATTAAGACAAATAAAGAACACCTACCTGTCACATATCCTTGTTGTACCCGACAGGCGTCTCGCCGAGATCAAGATTGCTTTATCTCTATCATCGTGCGTTCTATCGTCCTTCACACATCAGGTATTTGTTGGGCGGTGTTAGCGGACATTATTAACCGTAAAATCCCGACCCTTGAGAGAAGGGAGACAACCTGTACTCGCTTAGAGCAATTGCATACATTTTATTACAAATTATCTATAATGTCTCGGGGTTTTACGGTGATCGATAAGCGTCACAAGTCTGACGTCGGGGGTAGCTGATATCGGACCTATTAATAAGAAGTATTAAAGTACGTGTATATATATTGTTTATTGTACGTGTGAAGTTTTAGGTAATTCCGAATATATGATATAAAATAGAAATGAAAATAAATATAAGCTTGAACCTAATAAAATTTGATGTGTGTTTTTATTCAATATTCTATTCATGCGGTTGTACATGTAAACTTCTTCATACCGTCAGTGTTGTGTGAGTCAATGCAATTTTTAAAAACTACACATATATTACACACATACTCTACAGACACACACCGTCACACACATATTGTTCAACGGTTGGTAAAATATTAGAAAGAGTTATTTTTAAGCACTTACATAATAATTTCATGGAACATTATTTATTTTATCAGTACCAATCAGGTTTTATGAGCCGGCCATTCTACAGTGTACCAATTAATTGAATTATATCACAACGCTTGTTTAGATCTAAAAGTAAAAAACACACTTGTAAGGTTTTCTGTGATATTTCTAAAGCGTTTGACAGAGTCTGGCATACAGGTCAATTAGTCAAGTTTAAATCGTATGGTATTACAGAAAATGTCTTGCCTGGTATAGAAAATTATTTAGGTAACAGGCAACAGAATGTTTTATCTTCTAATGTTGATAGGATAGGTACTGGAGTTCCACAATGTTCAATTATTGGACCTTTATTTTTTGTTATTTCCATTAATAATATTGTTGATGCACTAGAATATACTATACTTCTGTTTACTGATGACACTTTATTTAAAAAATCTTCTTCCTGTTTAGAAATTCAAACCATTTTGAATAGAAACTTAGAATCATGAAATATTTGGGCAAAAACTTGGCTTGTTACTTTCAGCCAAAACAAAACAGAAATTATTTTAATTTCAAATTCGGATGATGTAGACGAAGACCTGGAATTGATTTTTGACGGAAACATTCCAAATTTTAGTAGCACGCATAGACATCTTGGAGTCACATTAAATTCAGATGGGAAGTGGACAAATCACAAAAATGAAATTTATAAATCAGCAATGAAAATGAATACTGTTTTAGGATAACTTAAATCTATGTTTAAGCATGATGCTCTAGTAAGAATTTACAAAATATTTACAATGTATATTACCAGTTCTTGAATATACATGGTTGATTCTGAAAAGTTAGAGAGGGCTCAACGTTAAGCAGCTAGAGGATAATTACAGGATTATCTTCATATGCTAGAAATGAATCATTATACTCAGAAACAGGACTAGAATTACTTTCTGATAGAAGAGCAAGAAGGAAACTTTAATTATCATACACAATGAACAGGCAGCTTACTCCAAATTATCTGTCAAATTTATTACCCCCTTTAGTTGGAGACAATAATAGATATACTCCAAGAAATAAAAATGACTATAGAATTCCAAACTTCAGACTTTCTCTTACAAACTCTTTCTTCTTGCCTTCTACTATGAAAACCTGTAATACGTTAGATGATACTGTCAAATTATTGCCGCTCTCTTATTTCAAATTAACTTTAACACCAAATATACTTACAGGTAAACCTAGTAGACTAAGGCATCGATGCAGTTCTATAGATATGATATATCCCGTGCAAACTGAGTCCAAGATTCAAACTGTTCGAATTCTGGTCACCGTTGTGAGTAATGCCTGTCAATACTTCTTTGAGTTTCAATCGTATAGTAATGCTCGTACAGTACTGTTCCAATACATAAACACTATAAACATGCAAATACGTTTGAAGTAACTGTACTATTTGGTGAAGAAAACTTAGCTTTGGATGATAATTGTAATTTATTTAGACATGTACGAACTATCATTAGGTCCAGCGAAAGATTTAGAAAATAAAATGTATACATGTACATATGTAGTTTTTGCCTTCCTACCGTTACTTGTACTATATGTAATTGTGTGTCTATGTAATCACTTGTTATTGTAATTGTGTGTCTATGTAATCACTTGTTATTGTAATGTTGATAGAAGATGGCTTCATAAGTTGCAATAACTTGTGCCAAATGCCTTGATGCCTTGTACCTATCTAGACAATAAGATAAGTTTAATGTCAATGATTGCGAAATGATTTTTTTAACAGAAGGGTGTCCTTCTATAGAGCTACAAACTATTAATATATTGTTAATGATGTATGCAGACGATATGGTGTTATTGGCCGAAACTTCTGAGGGATTGCAGTAAATGTTAGATACATTATTACTTTATACAAATAAATGGAATCTTACGGTTAATACTTCTAAAACCAAGGTGATGGTTTTCCGTAACGGAGGTAAATTAAGAGAAAAAGATAAGTGGTACTTTGATGGAGGTGTTTTAGATATTGTAGATGAATTTAATTACCTTGGTATATTAATGGATTTTAATGGTGAATTAAAAAAAAATTAACAAAAAATCGCTGAACAAGGAAGAAAAGCATTGTTTTCAGTATCAAACGTGTCTAAGAAAAAATATTTTAACGTTGAAACTCAGTTTCATATTTTCGATACATATGTCTAGTACTTTTAATTATGGAGCGGAAGTTTGGGACCAGATATAGAGAAAATACATTTAAGTTATTGTAAAAGATTATTAAGGGTTAAGATATCTAAGAATTAGGAAGATTGCCTTTGAAAATAATTAGGAAATTTAGAATGTTTAAATACTGGTTAAAATTAAAACAAACTGACAATTGTGTTTTACATGCATGTTATCAAGAAATGTTAGAAAATGGTAGTGAATGGATAAATGGAGTAAGAAACGAACTATTTAGAATGGGAGTAGGGTATATATGGCAATATGGAGATACCTATACATCCGATTATATTATGAATATTATTAAAAGCAGAATGTGTGATATATTTAAACAAGAATGTAAAGAAGAAGCAGATTCATCTTCTAAGTGTTCACTGTACAAGTTTTTTGGCGAACATTTCTGTTTACAACCATATTTAACAAAACCCATAGGAAATACAAATCTGAAAGAAATAACAAAAATTAGACTGTCATCTCACAAATTAAATATTGAAATTGGTAGGTATAACAATGTAGATAGGATTGAAAGAACATGTGCATACTGCAACAGTGGGGATATCGAAGATGAATTTCATTTTATATTAAAATATGAATGGGTTTTTTTAAATTTAAGAAAGCGTTTTATTAAGAAATATTACTATGAAAGACCTAGCATGTATACATTTATCCAACTTATGGAAACAGTGAACAAAAAACAGTTAACAAATTTAGCCAAATATATTAAACTGAGCAATAAGAAAAGAAAAGACTATGTACCTATATAAAGAAGGATGTCTCTCTACACTATACCAATGGGTATGTGAGTGTGTATTTGTGGGTGTGGGTGTATTTGTGTGTGGGTGTGTATTTGTGTGTGTATTTGTGGGTGTGGGTGTGTGTGTATTTGTGGGTGTGTGTGTATTTGTGGGTGGGTGTGTATTTGTGGGTGTGGGTGTATTTGTGGGTGTGTATATGGGTGCGAGTGATTGTATTGTTTATCCTTGTATATATGTTTATTTTGAACTGACGAGTCGTAAGGTTCAAGGTAATAAAGAACTGAACTGAATGTCACACATACTTGGAACAGGAGCAGGACCCACCTGGCACCAGGACGGCCCGATATTGATTTAAAGTTTGTTTCTTGATCACGAAGAGCAAAATCCGTGCATTACCCATACCTATGTATATCTTACTATATCTAACAGGAGCAAGCCAAGCATGCAGTGTTAGTTACAATCGTTTGTTGGCGAAGTGCACCGTCAGTCAGTTCAGTGGTACGTAGGCTGATAAACTGTGTGGGAAAGAATTTCCGGAAAAGTTAAAAAGAAAATTCACACATCTATCTAGCGGTTCCGTACGACAGACAACGGTAAGTTTATGTTTGTTTTAGCCCCCAACTGTACATGTAGTATGGGCGTTTTCCTATGTCAATCAGTGTATAGTGTTACGTCTTGTTTACATGTATATATTGCTGTGTCACCTACATACCTACTATGTCGTAACAATAGCACTACAGTGCTAATGCTATTTTGTTACATGCATATGCGACGTTAAATAAAGATTCTTGACCCTTGACTATCACTTTTTACAGCAGAGGGTCATGGCAGAGGGTCGCGGTTGAAATCGTGTCTCGTGCCCCAGCGATACAGAGTTATTGCCTTTTGTTTAACTTTGTACGTATATCTTTGTCCAGGGGTGGGACATAGGGATTGTTCACTTGACTTGTTACACTATATATGCAATTATAAGGTATTGTCGTGTACTGTTAGTCGATGTTATGACAGAAGTAACATTGGAGATGTCTAACTATAAACTAGGTATAGATATATACTAGACTAAGCCATGTATATTAAAGGGGATTTAAAAGGTCAACTTCATAATGATTGACTGCAGGATTTTATCGAGTTCATAGACTTCAATAGTAAATACTTTAAAAAAAAATTGTATGATTTTTAGTACTTTCGGGTATGACTGCACAGTGGACCACAGCCTTACTGGAGAATTCAAAAAAAAAAGTACACTGTTTTTAGAGTTTGATAAAAATTGATTGGTGATATCAGTAGTTGGTGTATCGCGAAACAGGCAAACAAAAATTCGATACGATACTCAAGAAAACATCACGATACGATACGATACGATATATCGTTGCAGCCCTATAATTTTCCACTTCACATCCCCGATACTACAGAGGATACGCTCACTTAGTCCACTTTCTACATAACACTGAAGCATAAGTAGCATGTCTAATCAACTTGTTTTCATCTTAAAGTAAGCGTACAGAAGTATCTGAGGATTATTATTGGTGAAACCCCTGTATGTCACACTGATGAACCCATGGAAAACGTCTGAGGTACTAGGTAAATGAATGGAAAAGTATATGCCAGTCTGTTTCT